ACAGCATTCTAGTTAGAGTTATAAAGTTCTTACCCATTAAAGATACATGTTAAAGTTTTTAAGGGTGAAATGATATGCTGCCTGAGATTTGCTTTAAAATACTTGAAAAAGTGAGGAGTGGACGGAACAAGATGGGCGAATGCCGCGGGTTGTTGCACCTGGAGAAGAGCACGCAGGGATTCACTGTGCTTACCTCTCCTTTTGCTCTGTGTTTGAATATATCCTCAAAAGACAAAAGGTAAATAGAAATGAGATTTAAATGATTGTTGGCACTTGAAAATAGAGAAATGATAGCAGACTAGATCCTACGGAATTAATTCACGCCATAATCATGTAGAAAACACACTTGGAGACAAACTGTCCTGACACAGTAATGGGCAGTTTGCCTTAGAGCAATCACTGTCACAATCTTAATTTTTTCTACTTACATTTCACTTCCAAACCATTATCACTACTGTGGTGAAGTAGGAGTGCAAATAGTTTCCCAGTCAACGTGTAGTTGTTTGTAATAATAAGCATTACTCTATGATGTTACTGTTTAAAAATTTATTATAAGCATTTAAAGAAGCTAATCTTCAGAGCAATTTAGCAAGTTTTTAAAAGTGAACTGATAGTGGCTTGAGGCCCCAGCAATCAAGATTCCTACAGATTAAGTCGAGCAAGAATTTAGTGAAATGCCCGCGTTGGCCTGGGTGGTGTACTAGGTTCTGGGCCTCAGGAAATGAATAAGACACAGCTCTCCTTTTAAGGGGCTTCGTGTTTTCATCGAAAGGGGGAGTGAGCTCAAATGTCATTTTATTTCATTGGGAAATCTGTTCAGTTATATCAGTCAGGCAGCTGGCAAGACAGGGGGCACTCAGCTTGGGGGACTGGAGAGGCCTTTAAAGGCCTTCTTTACAAGGAGAGGGTGGGTGTAGACCCCCCAGGGCTGGTACAGCACTAGCCACGGTTGTGCACATCTCCCCTCCAGGCCTGATAGGCAGAGCAGGGTGCAGAGAACCAAGAGAGGGAGAGAGAACTGCTTTGGTTGGGAGGGATCTGGCCACCTACAGGGACCCATAGAGGGAGGACCCCAGAGAACCCCCTCCTCATTTCATTCTTCCCCCACCCCCAGTCCCCATCGCTGATGCCAGCTCGAACCAGAAGGCAAGTGGCCTGTTGAAGTGGTCATTGTGGCCCCTGGGGCACAGAGCAGGATGGGGCGTGGATCTCAAGGACAGGCGGCAGATTCCAGCACTGTACTAGTTTCTTGTGGATGCCATGACAAATTCTCACAAATTCGGAGGCTTAAAACAAGAGAGATTTATTCTCTTACAGTTCTGGAGGCTAGAAGTCTGAAATCAAGGTGTCCGTGCTCTCTCCGGGGCTCAAGGGGAGAATGCGTGCCTTCCTCTTCCTGCTTCTAGTGATTGCTCACTTCCTTGGCTTGTGGCCACATTACTCCACTCTCTGCCTCTGTCTTCACATGGCCTTCTCCTCTGCGTATGTCTTCTCCTGTGTGTCTCTTATAAGGACACTTGTCATTGGATTTAGGGCCACCCAGATAATCTAGGATGACCACCTTGTCTCCAGATCCTTAGCTTAATTACATTTGCAAGGATCCTTTTTCTAGGTAAGGTCACATTCACAGGTTCCAGGATTAGAATGTAGACACATCTTTTGGGGGGGCCACCATTCAGCCCGCTGCAAGCACCTTTCACTCCCAGGAGAGTTAAAGCTCCATCATGACACATTGGTAACTGATTGTTGGTGTACTTCTGTTGACTGTCTTCAGTGGACACACCCTCCAAGGGGGCAGGGACCTGCCTTTCCTGTTCACTTCTGTCTCCATTGCCTGCCCTGCCCGGAGCCAGCACATAAAAAAAAGCTTTTTTTGGGTGAGTGAATTAACAGACGAACGAACAAGCACAGCAGACGACAATGCAAACAGAGTGAAAGCAGGGGTCTGCTCTGTGAGTACACTAAACACCGTTCAGTGGGCGCTTTCAATGGCGGATCATATAGGACGTGAATTACACCGCAGTAAAGTTGTGCCTCAGAAGAGTGCCTGGTGATCAAGCGAGCAAGATTGTGTGGCTTTGTCTGGGGCTTGGGGAGGGCCGGAAAAGGCCCAAAGCTGTTGCCGGGGGCCTCTGTTAGGGCAGAGCTTTGGGGAAGGAGGGCATTCCAGGCTGAGGGGCCAGTGTGAGCAAAGTCATGGGTTGAGAGCATGTTATCCTCCAGGCACATGTTTACTTGTTAAATAAAATGTGATTGTTTACCTTGTGTAAATACCAGGCCCTCTGGGGGGGCAGGGCAGGTGAGAGGGAGCACCTGTGCCCCCAGTGCCCCGCCCACATTCCCGAGCACTGACTCCGTTTTGAGCATTTAAAGGCCTTCCAGTGCTATTAAGAATTTCCGTTTGTTTGTTGAAATTCGCTGACATAATGCAGTGCTGACGTTTACTTTGTTATGACAAGGATTATATGATATGTAAGAAGGAGTAAGGGGCCGCCTTGAGTACTCTGCCATAGCAAGATTCAGCTTGGAAATGTGGACACATCTGTCTGCCATATTGTTTAGGAGGACACCATTATAATTATAGATGAAGGAGCCAGACCGTCCAGCTTGAGTCAGACTTTCACATCTTAGAAGCGTCTGGTTTGGAAAACGTCCCCTGCAAGCCCAAACCTTTGACCCAGGCTGGCCAGCGGGCGTGGGCCACTTCCCATCCCTGTCTCGGGTGCCTCTCATCTGTAACCACTGCATGTGTCGTCCAGAGGGGAGTTTCTGTCTCTCTTCTTTCTTGCCAGCTTTATTTTTTGCCACACTCCCCCACCCCAAATAAATAAATAAATAATGACATGCATTTGCAGTAGAATGTGCATTCTGTGAGAACTTCACATTTGGATGTAAGCATCCCGAGAGATAAAAAGGGTCTCCACATTTCTGCCTGGACAAGTGAGTATAAAATACCTTGTTTGCTTTTTTAAAACAAAGGCAGCTTATTTCCCTAGAGCCTCTGCCCTTTTGGTTCTATTAATATCTAACAGGTTTTTTTTAATTAAAAAATGAGCATTCTGTAAATTTATACATGCTTGTTATAATGAATCAAGCGCTATATACAAGTAGAGGGAAGTAAAAAAAAAATCACACCATTCAGAGGTTGCTGTTGTTAACTTGGAGTGAACATCCTTCTAGACAGCTCTCTGCGCGCGTAGACAGATGGGCGGAAGTAGCAGTATAAATGGGGTCCTATGTGAATGTTGCCATCTATCATGCCTCTTGTTTTTCTTTGATATGAGCAGAAAAAGAAACTGAAGTGAAACTGAGTACATTTATAAAAATGGTTCCTTACCACAGAGTGATTGTTTCCTGAAAAGATTTCTCTATGGTTAAGAAAAACGGTCAAGAGAACTGTCAGGAGGTTGGGACCCTATTTTCAATTTCAGGGACCTCTTGGCTCCAAACCTGGCTCCTAGAACACGGGGGGGCCTCTGCCGGCGTTTTCAGATTTACTGTACAGCTTTGGTTACAGACGTCGAGGCTGGAATCGAGCTGAGAGGAGGTGGAGAGTGGGGCTGCGTGTCACCCAGAGTGGCTGCACTTGGGCCTTGCTGAGTGTGGTGTGCACTGTCCCTAAGGACGGGCCCTGAGTCCCATCCTGCCCAGCTCGCCTTCGCTTTGCAAATGATAGAACAGGGGCCGGCCCCGTGGCCTAGTGGTTAGGTTTGCGCGCTCTGCTGCGGCGGCCCAGGGTTTGACCGGTTTGGATCCTGGGCGCGGACGTGGCGCCGCTCATCAGGCCACGCTGAGGCGGCATCCCACATGCCACAACTAGAAGGACCCACAACTAAAAATACACAACTATATGCTGGGGGGATTCGGGGAGGAAAAAAAAAAAGATTGGCAACCGTTGTTAGCTCAGGTGCCAATCTTTTAAAAAAAAAAAATGATAGAACAGGCTGCGTGTTTCTCCCCATTTTCCTCAATGGGAACAAGAGGAGGGAATATTATGAAGGAAAGAGTCTTTTTCTACATCTAATGCAACATCAAAGGTGTGTACAGGGCCCATAGGAGTGTTGGAAGAGCTTTATCAGATGCTTAAGAAAAGACGCTCCTCCCCACCTCAGCGCAGGTGTCCTGGCCGTGGCCCCGCGGCCGTGTTCCCCTGCCACCATTGTCCCCCTGGAGAGTGCTGTGGGTGTACCCTGCATGGCTGCTTAGAATTTACTGATATTTATTTATGTAAAAATATTTGGGGGCCGGCCCGGTGGCGCAGCGATTAAGTGCCCACGTTCTGCTTCTTCGTGGCCCGGGGTTCGCCAGTTCAGATCCCAGGTGCGGACACGGCACCTCTTGGCACGCCATGCTGTGGCAGGCATTCCACATATAAAGTAGAGGGAGATGGGCACGGATGTGAGCTCAGGGCCTGTCTTCCTCAGCAAAAAGAGGAGGATTGGCAGCAGATGTTAGCTCAGGGCTAAACTTCCTCAAAAAAAAAAAAAATCTGAGTATCCAAAGGATGTAAAAAGTTTCAGCAGCATAACGGTCATCAGTTGAAGTTAATTTGGTCTCTTTTGCTGGCTGGTGACTTCGACTTTGCCTTTATGCATCCTGTGCAGATGAGCTTCCTTTTGACTGTAGCCTGTGCTTCCTTGGGTTACTCTCTCCTAGGACTTTCTAGCATGGAGAAGAAGGGGGTTTTGACTGACTTAGACCCTACGAGAATAAGATTTATTTGCGGAGGTATTATACTGTGAAACTGAGGCAGGGACACTTAGCTGTATGTTGCAGTCACCTGGGGAGCTTTGAAAAAATGTCCATGCATGGCCAAGTGGTTAAGGTTGCATGCTCTGCTTTGGAGGCTCGGGGTTCATCAGTTTGGATCCTGGATGTGGACCTATGCACCGCTCATCAAGCCATGCTGTGGCAGCGTCCCACATGGAGGAACTAGAATGATCTACAACTAGGAGATGCAACTATGTACTGAGGCTTTGGGGAAAGAAAGGAAAAAAAAGAGGAAGGTGGCAACAGATGTTCACTCAGAGCCAGTCTTCCTCACCAAAAAAACAAATAAAAAGTGTGCCTGGGCCCCTCCTAGAGAGTTTGGCTGCTATGGGGTTGGTCTGGGTATTGGGGATTTTGTCGGGTGATTCTGACGTGCAGCTGAAGTTGAGAACCACTGCTGTAAAGTCATATTTAACAGCGTGCTAGGATTATGCACTTCCCTGGGTGCCAGTGCCTTTCCTGCGGTCACCTTGGGAGACCTGAGCTTACAGTGCTGCCTTTGCTTAAGAGTTTTGGAGAAATCCTGCTTTCGGAATTACCCTTAGATCTAATGTGAGACTCCCCGACAGACTCAGGCTCAAAGGACTGTGTCAAGGGAGCCTGCCTGTTGCGGAAAGGATTGGGGGCAGTTATTGCCTGACAAACACGGCTCTTCTTTTTTTTTTTTTCACTCTCGATTTTGTTACCCACCTTGTTTGTCGGACCTGACCTCAAGTGACTGGCTTTTTGTGGGTGGGGAAGGGTCATTCTGACTCTTTCGGTGGATGCTGAGTGGCTGATATGTGCTCGGTACTGGGAACGCCACAGATGACAGGATATTGCCTATGTCATTAATATTCCAGTGGGGGAGACAGTGAGCAAGAAACCAGATTTGATATTCACTGATTGCAATTAGTGGCAGGACAGAAAGGAGTGCTGTGACAGAGGGTGACTGCCAGCTTAGATAGGACGGTCAGCGAGGCCTCTGAGGGCAAGGCATTAAGCTTGGGCCTGACAATGAGCAGGAGCCGGATGGAAGAGCAGACCTGAGTGCCAGAGGCCTGTGGAGGGAAGAGTTCCATTTCTTCTCAGGACGGGGCGAGTGGGAACAGGTCACCCTGAATCTCAGAGATCGGGACATGGCAAGTTCGGTTCCATTTGTGCTGACTGTGAGTTTAGGTGAGGACAGAAGCGCTCATGTTCCACTCATTGCTCAGGGCCTGGAAAATAATAGTTGCTCAGTAAATGTTTATTGAACAAAGAATTGATTGAGTCAGAATTTCGCGTGCACAGAGCAGTGAGTCTGGGAGCAGGCGTCTAGGTCTTCACTGTGGCCTCCAACCCCTGCCCTCTTCTCATCCATCAGATGAGACCAGTGGGAGGAAAAGATCTCATCAGCAGTTGGTTTGTTTATAACTAAACTTTGAATTTTAAGATAATTGTAGATTTGTATGCCATTGGAAGAAACAGTACAGAGATACTGTATGTATCTTCACCCAGTTTCCCCCAATGGCAGCATCTTACAGAATTCTAGTCCACTCTCACAGTCAGGATAGCGACACTGATACAGTCAGCATAGGGAACAGGAGAACATTCCATCACCACGAAGATCCTTCATGTTGTCCTTGTAGCCACTTCCCTCCCCCAGCCACTAATCTGTCTGCATTTCTGTAATTCTCTCATTTCAAGAATGTTGTATACTCGGAATCATAGAGTATGTGACTCTCTGGGTTGGCTTTTTTCACTCAGCAGAATTCCCTGGAGCTTCATCCAAATTGCCATGTGTATCCACAGTTGGTTCTTTTTTATGGCTGAGTAGTGTTCCCTGGTGTGGATGGAACTCACTTTGGTTAACCCTTCACTTGCCGAAGGACACCTGGGTTGCTTCAAGGTTTTGGCTGTTACAAATAAAGCTGTTCTGAACGTTCACGTACAGGTTTTCGTGTGAATATAAATGTTCATTTCTCTGGGATAAATACCCAGGAGTACAATTTCGGGGTCATATGGTAGTTGCATGTTTAGTTTTAAAAGAAGTTGCTGAGCTGTCTTCCAGAGTGGCTGTGCAATGGTTTATTTTTGTTTGTTCTTTTAAATGGCTTAACAATCGAAGGAAAGACTCTCCTGCAGGACCTCGGGATACAGTGCACATGGAGGGCGAGCCGCTGTAAGGGGGAGGCGGGGAGCGAGTGAGGGGAGCCCCCTCCGAGGGCCGTTCCGAAACCCCGAGATAGCAGAAACCCTGTTTAAACTCAGTCTTTCCAGCCCCCAACAGAAACTATTTCTACTGCACTAATTTTAGTGTTGAGCTAGAGGCTTAATTTTCTATCTTAATGTAAATCCTTAATTTAAATTCTGTTTTGAGCTGGCCTAATCTTTCAGGCCCTGCACCCAGCTCATCTGTGTGGAGAGAGAGATTATGTGTCTGCTGAAGAGCCCCCAGCCTGGTGGTCAGGGCCTCCTGGTGGAGGCGTCCATCCAAGGGCTTTCCCTTTGTTCTCTTCCTTCACTAAGTTGTGCGTGCGTGTGTGTGTGTGCACACGCCTCTATGAGTGTGCTGGAAACTGGGCATGAGCAACAAATGGGTATGGCTGGGGGGAGGGGTGCAGAGCAGAGGCAGCGCAGCCAGGAATCTACACTCAAACTATCAAGAGGAAGGAAGTAGCAGCGAAAATAGCCTGGGTGCGGTGGTAGGAAATATTAAGGGGAAAAACGAGATGCCTGGCGTCGGGGTGAAGAAGAGCTCCTAAAAACGCGGGCATGTGTGGGGAAGGAATTGTGTGTTGTTGAAACTTCAAATCCAGAATGTGAGCAGTGGGCAGGCCGCGCTGGAGGAAGCCGATCAAGGTGAGTGAAAGGGGAGCTGGAGGACATGGCACGGATGCCTTGTGTTTTTTGGTTTTTCTTTAATATACTTTTGCTAAGTTTTATTAGGAGCTCCTTACCTTTTTCTCAGACCTTCCATTTCTCCCTCTCACTCCTGACGTCCAGGCGGGCTTCTCTACCTCCCAAATAACGTGTCCCCACTTGGAGAATGAAACCCTGTTGGGCAAGTAAGTCCCCCTTGCCCAGCCTTGGGTCAGCCTCACTGAGGGACTGGCCAGGAGCTGGCGAGATGAGGCCCTCCCCTCAGCCAGGAAGAGCTGGTGCTGGGGTGGGGGAGGGACGAGGGCAGAATCCTGTAAACGGAATTCATCCCTGGGGCCTCAGGCTTTCGTGCTTGAGCTGTAAGCCTGAGTGTTAAGCCTGAATTGACATTGCACTGACTGGTCCTCCTCTGATAAAAGCGATTCTTTAACTCTCTGGAGTAGCAGGAACTTGTTTTGAAAAAATCTAGCCCTAAATCTTTACAGCTGTCTATTCCTGCAAGCACAGTGGCGGGAGTAAGGAACTTCAGGCACGGCGCAGCTGCTGAAGCGAAAGCCTCGACAGGTCACAAGACAAAGCCCATCTTGCAAACTGGTTGGAAAGGAAGTGGCCTCACTGTTTAAGAATAGGGGGCAGTGTCCAAACTAGAAATCTGAGAGGCTGGAGTCTTTGGGGCTGGGAATGGCTGCCCCGCACGTGGCCGAGCCTGGAGACACAGCCAAACGGAAGCAGATGTGGCAGCTCCTGGGCGTGGGGCGTGGGAACCTCTGGGGACTTGCCTATGAACTAACACACTTTGGTTCTCATCATCCTGTGTGTTCCTTGCAGACACAGAACGTTCAGCTTAACAAAGAAATGACGCTGGCCAGCAACCGGAGCCTGGCAGAAGGAAACCTTTTGTACCAGCCCCAACTGGATGCTCTGAAAGCACGTTTGACCCAAAAATACCAGGAACTTCAGGTTCTCTTTGAAGCCTATCAGATAAAGAAGACCAAATTAGGTAACTTTTTTAGGGTGATCTTTCAAGAATAAAAAGTTGAGGGCCAGCCTGGTGGTGTAGTGGTTAAATTTGCATGCTTTGCTTTGGTGGCCCAGGGTTTGGAGGTTCGAATCCCAGGCATGGACCCACACACTGCTCATCAAGCCACCCTGTGGCAGTGGCCCACATACCAGATGTTAGCTCAGGGCCACTCTTCCTCACCAAAAAAACAAAAATAAAGAAAAAAAGAATAAAGAGTTGAGGGAAGGACACATTTTCAAGCTGTTGCACTACCAGGAAAGAAATATTATTATGAGAAAATTTCAGATTAAGACAGTAATTACTGCCACAAAGAAATGGTTTATATTTAGAATTGTCACCAATTTAGAAAAGAGACTTAACTGCTTTTTAAATAAGACTCCACCTTCTCCAAACAGCATTAGGAAAGAGGCAGTTTTCTGAATTATGGTTCAACAAATGTGTTATCTTGTGAAGTTAGCCCTCAGAATTAACTCTGAAAAATACTCCTCACTGGAACATTTTATTTTAATGTCACACTTTGATTCACAGCCATTTTGAAGAGAGCGTGGAGTTGGATATTGTTCGAGTCCTCCATACTTTGGATTGCTTTCGAAGAGACTTAGATTAGAGAAGGTTAAAGATTACCCCCTGCAGAGAGGTTTACAGAGACTTCTGATGCCCAAATCCCCTTTCATTGTCTCTGTAAAGGCAGCAAAAATGGACTTTAATGTGCCCACCAGAGTGAATAAAGTTGAAAAGGCTGGCACTGCCCAGTGCTGGTAGGAGTGTAAACTGGTAAGACCACCTCGGAAAAGCTGCTTGGCAGTCCCTGCTAACGTGAGAGATGTGCGTGCTCTGGGATTCAGCACTTCCACTCCGGGTCTGTTTCCAGCAGCAGTGCGCATTTATGTCTCTCAGAAGATGCACAAGAATGGTCATTGGAGCTGTATTCCTGACAGCCAGATGTGGAAACAGTGTAGATGTCAGGCTACAGAGGGATGGGTTAGTTGTGATATTTACACAATGGACACAGCAGTGAAGGAGACAGCTGCTGACTCAGACAGATTCATATGACACTAGGGTGAGATCAGAGACCTGGTGTGAGCGCAGGAAGCCGGCGCAGAGCACACACTGTGATGCCGCTTGTGTGAGGTTCAGGACCGGGTGGCACTCCAGGGTGGTGCAGGTCGGCTCAGGGCCTCCCTCTGGGGGGCGTTGCTGGGGGTGGGCCTGAGGGAGCTTTGCAAATATGCTATGTCCTGAGCTGGTGCTGGTTGCTGGGGTTTAGACATATGTAAAAAATCACGTGATACACTTAATGACGTGTATGCTTTATGTAAGTTATCACTCAGAAATACAAGGGACATATGTAACGGGTGTTCCGTACAGTTCTCTAGGGCAGTGCTGATGCTCGGCACGCTGATGCATGTGCAGCCCCGAGTGCCCACACTGGTCCGTGCACTTGTTCCTCCCCTGGAGTTTAAGCCTTACTTCACTTTCAGCTTCCTGGAAAGTCAGCTCTCAGAAGGTTTGACTCTCCTAGTGCCTTTCCAGTTACAAGGCACTCCTCCTCTGGCAGGGGAGGGAAGGAGGCGGAGGAGCAGGTTTGAAGGGCTGGGGGTCGTGCCCCTCTCATCGCGCCGCCTCCTCTTCCAGATAAGCAGTCCAGCAGTGCTTCCTTGGAGACCCTGCTAGCACTTCTTCAGGCGGAAGGGGCCAAGATCGAGGAAGACACCGAGGTAAAGCCAGCCAGCCTTGGTGGAGTGCCCAGGGCACAGTTACCCGTGTCCTGGCCACTTTGGGCCCAGTTCCCTCGGGGACAGTGAGTGCCACATCTCCATGGCCAGGAGATGGTGCCTCCCGCATGTGTAAGCTGCACGTGAGCCTGGGCAGCCTGGCCTGTGGTCAGAGAAAGTGCCAAGCTGAGGTCTGGTCCTCAAGTGAGGGATGCACGCTGCCCTGTGAATTGGCACTGGTCCTGTGGGTGCCAGTGGCTGAGCTCCCATTCGCTCTGAGTCAGCTGGTGGGGCAGGGCCTGTGGGATGTGGCCAGCTGGGCTCTTGAGGCTGGAGCCTCACTAAGTGATAAATGAGTCAGGGTTGAAAGTTGCGCAGTTGTAGCGCATCAGGGCTGGCAGTGTGTTACCAAGTTAGGCTACTTGGTCTAATTAACCATCGCCATTAGGCGGGAGCCCTGATGGGCACGAGCAAATTTCTGTCCTGCTGACTCCGAACGGGGCCAGTCTGTCAGGATGCGGCTGGTGGAAGGAAGGAAACACTGGATTCCAGTTGGTTTAACGCGGGAGGGTCAGAACTGGGTGCAGTGGTTTCCTCTCCGGGCCGGGAGAGCCAGCAGCTCGGGGCTTCGTCTTAAGGCTGGCTCTCCCCACGGCCTGCTGCCTGTCTGGCCTGTGGTTTGGGAGGGTGGGGTAGGCATGACCAGCCCATCTGTCCAGGGCAGAGCCCCCACTGAGGACAGCAGCATGGAGCGGTGGCAGATAGCAGAAGGGGACAGGTGTTGGGAGGAAGCTGGGTGCTGCCTCTCCCTGCGCACCGGGTAGTGAGGGAGCGCCTTCCCTCACAGCTGACCTTCCCTGTAATCGGGTTTCTCCTGCTGCTTCCAGAACATGGCAGAGAAGTTTCTCGATGGAGAGCTTCCTCTCGACTCCTTCATCGATGTCTACCAGAGCAAGCGGAAACTGGCCCACATGCGCAGAGTTAAAATTGAGAAGCTCCAGGAGATGGTGCTGAAGGGGCAGAGACTTCCGCAGGCCCCAGCTCCAGCCCCGCTGCCCCCCAGGGTGCCCGAACCAGTGCCCGCTGCCCCCCTGCCCTACTCCGCCTCGGAGGCCAGCGGGCCCCCGTCAGTCGTGCCTCGGCGCATCCCACCCCCACCGCCCCCGGTGCCTGCAGGACGGTCAGCCACGCCATTTACCGCCGCCTTGGCCTCAGGACAGGCCTTTCCGTACCCAGGATCACAGTGCCCACCCCTGCCCCCCCGCGTGGGCCTTCCCCCCCCCCAAGGATTCTCCACACAGTTTGTGTCACCATACCCGCCACCTCTCCCCCAGAGACCCCCACCCCGGCTGCCTCACCAGCCGGGCTTCATCCTCCAGTGAGTGGCCCTCGGCCTCCTGGGAGGCTCCCTCACCTGCGCCTGCTGGCCGGGGTTCCGCACACACCGGGGAGGCTTCGAGGACCAGGTGCTCTGCCAAGGGCTCCGGTGCCCTGGGCCGGGATGTCCATCTGATTTTAGAACTGTAGGTCAGTGGTAAGTAGACGTAGAAACCAGTCGTGTACACCCAGGCGGCTGTGTGTGCTGGGCCTCCGCCTGGCATCCCTGTGGTTGCGCTGGTTTGCGTTCTCGGTATCATTTCTAAGTCTCGTAGTGTTGATGAACTCACGAGTTTGGAGGAAAAAGCCTCCCTCCGTTCCTGTTTAGAATCGTGGTCCTCCTGTTGCAGCTTTATCTAGTAAGCATGGTTCATCATTTCTGGTTTGTTTTCAAAAGACAGTTGTGTGTGTCCCAGCCCGCCGCCCGCCGCAGCCCCTGGTACGGGTTGGTTGGGTGGGCTAGCCCGGAAGGTGCTTGCTTAATCTGTGTGGGGTGGTCGTCAGTCACCCCCTCCTCTCCTGAACGTGGGTGTTTCAAAGCCACACGCAGAGTTTGCACTTGGCCCACTGCCACGGCCTCGCCGGGCGAGTTGCGGCCGGCCCTGAGGAGATGGCTCCGAGCTGGACTTTGCACAGCAGATGATGTTCCGGGCTCTCCTGCTCTCCCTCCGCCTCGAGCCAGCCCTGAGGGTTTCTATGAAGAAATACTCCCCCCGTATTTTTACTACATGTGTAATTTTCCTATTTTTTATTGGCAAAGAAAACTTTTTTGACACAAGACCATTCAGGGAAACTATAAAAATGCACATACTGTTCTGAGCAGAGTGAAGTGCACACGAAGTGAATGCAGTGCCCTTCTTGGAAGTAGTGCCCAGTCGCACCGCGGCCCGTGCTGTGCCTTAGCTTCACCTGGTGCCAGTGAGGGGCGGCCGTGGCTCCCCTGTGGGCCTCAGGACGGGCAGGCGGTGGGGGCTGTTACCAGCTGCTGTTGCCACCACCCTTGGTGGCTCTAGGTTCCACAGGGGCTTTTTTGCATTGTTTTGTTGCCGCTGGAGGAAGTCTGCCCACCTTGAGCCAGGATCCTCTTAGCCAGTGTTCTCTGCCCCTGGCTGGCTGGGCCTCAGGACACGAGTGGGGCAGGGATGCCAGCAGCATTCAGCTGGGTTTAGAGAAGCCCGCCCCCTGAGATTAGAGGGCCCCAGCACACTCAGACCTCTGGCAGCACCCCAGGCTCTTCCTTCCCCTCTGGGTTCTCACCCACACGTGCCGAATTCCCAGGGCTCGTGGGGGTGGGGGGAAGGCCACCCCCCACCTGCTGGCAAAAAAGGGCTGTGTGCTCATTGGTGAACCCCTGGCCCCAGCCTGTGACCACTCACCCAGCTGGCTGCCACCCGGGTGACAGAATCAAGGCAGAGCTCAAATGGCATCTGTCCCAGCGGGCCACGGGCAAGGCCACCAAACTTTGTACTCAATTACTGTACAGTTCTCCTGGACTTGAACTCTGTGTCATAATTGTCTTTTTAAAAGCTGTACAGGACTCAGTGCCATGCCAATCAGGTGGGCCTACCATGTTCTGTGAATCTTGAGAGTGCGGTGCCACCACCCGATACCTCTGCCACGTGCCCCGCTGTCGGGGTGCCCGCAGCCCGCACGGGGCGCAGCCAAACGTGTGAGCTCGATGTTGACATGGTGCAGGGGCCTCCAGGCTGGCCTCGCCATCTCTGCAGGGCCACGTCTGAGCTGTGTTTGTAAAGCTGTAGGACCCTTTTTAATAAAGAGAGAATTGTTAACAACAGCCCTGTCATTTATTTACCTGGGACGTTGGTGATGGGTTTGGTTCTAGAATATCAGTGATCCAGTTTCAACAGTGAAGCGAGCTGGCTTGTCTATTGAAGTTAAAAGCCTGGGCTGGCCCCGGGGCCAAGTGGTTAAGTTCGTGCACTCCACTTCAGCGGCCCAGGGTTTTGTCAGTTCAGAGCCTGGGTGTGGACATGGCACTGCTTATCAATCCACGGTGAGGCGGCGTCCCACATGCCACAACTAGAAGGACCTACAACTAGCATGTACAACTACATACTGGGGGGCTTTGAGGAGAAGAAAAAAAAAAAAGATTGGCAACAGATGTTAGCTCAGAGCCAATCTTAAAGCCCCCTGAGACAGCCAAAGTGTCTGCTTGTCCAGGGTCCCCAGCACTAAGGGCAGGGCCTTTTCCCTTTGATCATAGTGTCATAAATGTCAGTAAGGGGCAGAAAGCAGTACACTCCTCCTGTGTCAGAGGACTGTCTTCAGGGTCGCAGGGACCTGTAAGTGGGGGACTGAGGGTGCCCACTGCCCTCTCCCTCCCTGGCCTGTCCACAGGGTCACCACCATGTGCTGCACAGCTGATAGAAACTCCAGTTAGGACGTTCTCTGCTTGTTTCAAGTAAATGATAGAATTCAGTGGCTGCCATTTTGCTCTGGGGACGTGCCCACAGGTGTTTCAAGGGCTGCCCTCCCCACCACACCAAGCCAGGTGCTGCCTCCCTCTCGAGGCTGAGGGGCACCCTTCCTCCTGTGGTCTGCCCCTCAGTTCAGCTGTGTGTCAGGGCCTGAGGCCCCGGGAGGGACTTTCCTCCCCACATCGGTGGAGCATGAGCAGCCCTGCACAGGCTCACCCATCGCTGTTGCCTCCGCGAGGGATGCGTGCCCGGCACGTCAGTGATGCCGCGCAGGAGACACTGCTGTGCTTTTCCTGTCAGGACGAGGGAAGCTTTTCCTGAGAAATCACATTTGTTTTTTGCTTCAGACAATCTCTATCTGGTCGTTTCTCTTCCCAGTGGCCGCTAGGAAGTTTAGAGCCAGGTCTGCAGTCCAGGCATGAGGGTGCTAAGGTGAGGGTGAGCGTGGCTCCTCACGAGCCCAGCCTCATCTGAGCCTCTCCTCACCCTCCCGGCCCCAGTGCTCGTGGGAAGGTCCAGGGAGGGACAGTGCCTGACCCGAGCTAAAGTGGCAGGTGGGTGTGGCAAGACCAGACCCCGAGGCTTCTCTTCTGGGGTCTCCAGTTAAAGGTTTGCTCGTTGAGGACTTAAGTCAGGTTTCCTTGGCTCCGTTAAGTGTAGTCAACTCAGGCCAGTTTTCACTGGTTTGCAGTTGGTGGGGAGAGCCGTCTGCTCTGAAGTCTACTTTCTGAAGCTGTTTTCCCTAACAAACAAGCACCAGACGCCTGCTCCATCTCGGCACCCGTCCTGTTTGTGGAGACTACAGTCCAAGCACTGTCACACCTGCCCCCACCCGCCTCTCACAACCACCCTGGAGGCAGGCAGCGCCGGGCGGCCCCACTGCGTCCTTCAGGAAGCCGAGGCCAGGGAGTGGACACTTGTCTGAGTCCACATGGCAGGAGCCAGCTCGGTGGGAGCGCCTAAGCTGATCTTTCTCCCCTGACTTGCACGGTCCTTTTGTTCGACAAACGCTGGTGATCTGGAGGCGGGGGGCGGAGGGCAGTTTCTGAGGGCACGTAGGCCGCAGCAAGCCAGTGTGGAGCCTTCCCGGGGGAGGGGATAGCAGTGTGCTCCTGGGGAAAGTGGGTGCTTGCTCGGTCTCGGGAACCTGGACACCTAAGTTCCCTAATAGAGAGAGTGTGTGTGGCCACAACCGTCAAGTCCAGAGCAGCCAGGATTCAGGGTCACTGCCAACAAGGTCATATATGTGAAATTCTCAACTGCACAAGTAGCGGTCATTCCTCCCTTTCCCAAAGTGATTTCCAGCAGGGCTAGGGGAGGGGCCTCTGGCTGGGAACCACGGGGGCCTCAGAGGGTAGACTTGGGGTGGCAGAGAAAAGCCACGACTCACCATACAGGCCTCCCAGGACCTTGAGTCACATAAACCTCCCAGAGACGAGCCGGGACACTTCTTGGCAGAACCAGAAGCAGCACTAGCAAGGTTTTCTGTGGTCGCAAGAAGTCTGTTCCCTGCAGAGTCCGACTCAGTGGTTCCTACCCAGTGTCCTGGCCCCGGAGAAATGAACAGCCCAGACCCAGCCCCTCACTGTGGGGCAGTGATGACAACAGTCAAAGTGCGTTTTATTGCCAATCTGACTCATCAACACACGGGAATAATAAACGCAAAGCAAAAGAGCTGGCTCCTGTGCTGTCTCCAGACCGTGGCTGCTATCGGGCAGCCTTCCCAGAGCACCGGCAAACGGCTAAGGGCTGGGTGGGGGGGTTCGTCCGACCCAGCAGCTGGTCCTGTCCTCCCAGTCAGGTCCCCCCCACCCCCCGATTCCCCAAAGAGGGTGGGGCCCAAGGAATGCATTCTATCCTCTGACTAGGGCAGGGCTGTTGGGCAGAGCGGTGGTCCTTCCCTGAGGGCAGCCCCTTCCTGTGGAGCACAAGGAGCCCTTGATTCGGAGGCAGGCAGCTCCTGGTTTCTGGGCTTTTTCCAGCTGAGCTGGAGAAGCCCAGGGCCAAGGCCCCACCTTCAGGAGGGCTAGAAATCACCCTGGGGGAGGAGGGGGCAATGGGGAGCAGGAAGAACTGGGTCACCAGGGCAGGGGCACGAAAAACATGAAACGGGAGAATCACCACAGATTTGAAGGGTAACAGACTCCAGGGGTGAACGCAGCACCTGCGCCGGGGCTGGGTGCGCAGCCACAGCACCTGCCTGCCTGGCGGCAGCATGGACTCTGCCCCTCCCTCTGGACAAGGGACTCATCCAGTGTTCGCCCTCCCCCTCCGCACTCTCATCGCTGGTGCCCCAGAGCGAGGTAGGGAGGAAGGGGGGATGCCCCCAGCCTGCTCTGGAACATCCTGCTTTGCCTGAGGTCGCACCACGTCCCGTCTCCATGGAATCAGTGCCCCAAGGCCATAAACAGGTGACGTCTTACTCGCGTCTCCTACAGCTAGCACGGACTCTGTTCTTTCTGTTCATCTCTAACCTCAGACCCTGAATCCAAAAGGCAGGGGAGGCCCTGCTTCCCAGTGTGCTGAAAACAAACTCATACAGAAAAGGTCTAACTCGGAATACTGAGAATGTTCCGTGTATTTCCTGAAGAGTTGTGGCTCAGGCCTGCTGGGTCCTGGCTGTTCTCACAGTTCCTATTGCAGATAAATAGACGCATGTCCAGGAGAACCACCCTGGTCAGCCCAGATCCCATGGGCTCAGCAAGGGCTGTGGGCCTCTGGGACACTGATCCGGGCCGTGGGGCAGGGGGCTTGGGCACCTGGTGTGGGGGCTGGTGCCATCGGCCGGCGACTGGACCCCTTGGAGGCTCCTCGGCCAAGTCAGGGAAGCCATGTGAGGCCCAGGCCTGCCCACCAGCCTCCTTGCTGGACCCCTTGGGGGCCTAGTAGTTCACAAGTTGAGCCGGGTAGATGCCATCCTTTTTGTCGAGCTGCAGGGGTCAAAGGTGAGGGGCTCAGTGGACATGGCCAGGCCCCCATACACCCCACCTCTCCTGGCCCCTGCATTTTCCCCTTGAGCAAGGCCCTGCCACCTGCTGTGTTCCCCATGTTGTTGGTGCAGCATTTCTGCTCCTGCTGGGGCTTCTCAGTGGTCTCTGACTCTCCCATGGCCACGTGCCCCACAGACCCAGGAGCAGAGGCCAGGACAGCACTTCCCAGGCGCCCTCCCATCAACCCCCTCCCTGCCCCAGCGCTGATGCCTGGCACCTGGTGGTCCTGCCTGGGGGCCACGCTGGGCTTCTGGGCCAGGGGTGGCTTCTTGGAGGTCCCGCTGCGGGGGGCAGGGCTGGGCCGGCCAGGCTCCTCTTCGCCAGGCGTCCCCACCACCCCGGCTAGCACATAGTGCTGCTTCCGTAGCTCCCCCAGCCGCACACGCTCTGCCTCCAGCGTCTTCTCCAGCTCCAAGACTCGCACCTGCAGACCCGCAACCCCACTCAGCATGGCCCTTCTCGGAGCTCAGCCCTCAGAGACGGACAGGCCCAGAGGCCAGCCATGCACCCAAGACCGGCACCCTACCTGGGTCTCCATCTCCTGCTTCTTCAGCTTGATGAGTGACAGGCCAGAGAAGTCCATGGTGTCTGTGGCCAGAGAGAGGGCGTAAGTGTCTGGGCACTCACTCCCACCCCAGCCACTACCAGGGCCCCACCACTTGCCTCTCTCTTCGATCTGCTCCTGGCCTGACTTGGTAGAAGCCACCACATTGGCGGCCATCTCATTGACAGTGCGGGAGCACTCCTGTAGGCGACTCAGGTGGGGGCTGTGCTTGTCAGCCTTCACCTGGGGAGCATGGGGGTGAGTCAGGGGGCCTGCTGGGCTCGCCCTCCATCCCATGGTCTCCCCTCCACGTGTGGCATATCCACCACGGCCAGGAGTTGAGTAACCCGAGGCGAGGCAAGGCAAGGCTGAGCACGGAGCCTCACCTTGGAGGCTGCCACCAGCTGGGCTGTGCTGGCTGCAATCTCGTGGGAGCAGACGATGAGCTCTTCATACTTGCCCGTGTGAAGCACCACTTTGTCAGCTGACTCCCTGGGGATGGAGCCGGGCAGGGCCTGGGTCTCTGACCTCATGGACAGCCGGCCACCCCTACGCTCCTCCCCACAACGTGAGCACCACAGACCCTGCTGCCCCCCGACCTGGGGCGACATACACCAGCTGCGTGGCTCCCCAGCCCACCGCCTTGGAGGCAGAGATGAGGCCTTCCGTCCACCGCGAGTTCTTCGCGTAAAACTCCTGCTGTGTGGCTGCCCCCTAGTGGTGAAAGGAGGGCAGGGCGGATCAGTCAATGACATCACAGGTGGCAAGGGATCCCCACAGGGCCCTCTCCCCTCACCCCAGCCACAAGGGCGCATCCCTGGGCCGTGGGGCGATTTGGCTGTGATTTCTGGGCATGTGGTGTGCATTGGGGGGGTCGTCTCATCACTCTGTACACTTCAGGAGTCTCACGCCCAAAGGAGCCCTGTGGTCGGCTTCAGCCACAGGTTGGAGTGTTCTTGGGTCATGGCCCTTTCAGGAATCTGTCCCTCGCTGGCCCAGCTGTGTGGCCTGCTTGGCACTCGCCCAGCCAGGGACGGCCTCTCAGACCAGCAGGCGGTTCAGCTCACCCTGCCACTCTCCACAATTTCCTTCTGCAGGCTGGTGGACGTTGTCACCAGGAGCCGAATGGCCTGCCAAGACCAAGACACATATCACTCTCGGAGCGGCGCTCCCAGGTACAGAGCCTGTCCTGGTGTCTCACTCAGCACTCACCTTCATCAGGTCTGTGCAGGAGTTGAGGATCCTGGGGGGAAGAGAGAAGGATCTGCAGTGTGGCCCCATAAACCACAGAGGGTGGGTAGCAGGGAGCCTGGCCTGGCCTCTATGTGGACAATCGCAGGGCCTGGCCACAGCAGGTGCTCAGAGGGTGGGCCTGCAGGGTGGGTCCAGCTCTGCTTGTTCCAGCCCTTCTTTCCAGAGAACGAAGCAAGCAGGAGGGCACAACCCCGATGGATCTAGGAGGGCCGTGGAGAACCTGCCTCGTAATGTACTGGGGGGCAGAAGGGAGGCTCACCTCTCATTCACCTCCAGCTTTACCCCGGAGCTGGCGTGGCGGGCCTGGTTCATCATGTCCTACGCCCAATGACAGCATTGTGAGCAGGCTGCAAGAAGGGCAGCGCGAGAAGGGGGCAGCGCGAGAGGGGGGCAGCATGAGAGGGGGCAGTGCTGGGGAAAGGGAACACTGGCACAGTACCAGTCCCTGAGAACAGCCACTGAGCTGGTGAGGAGAGGGCAGAGCTCAGGGTGGAAAAGCCAGGGCCACCTGCCTGCCCTGCCAGTTCTGACCTGCAGAGGCCATCTGTCCCTTCCACAAAGACCAAGTGCAGAGGTGGGCACAGCCCGCACTCAGCCCAGCCCCCAGGGCTCCTGCAGGAACTGAAGGATGCCTTGCACCCCAGTCCTCACCTCGATCCTCTGCACAGCGTCTTCAATGGCTGCGGATGTAGCTGCCATTTCCTTGTCCACCATGGCCCCCAGCTCCTCCTGACGCACATCCAGGCTCTTGGGCTTCAGCTCCTGGGGGAGGAGGGCATCCAGGAGTCAGACAGTGTGGGTTCGACCCCTAGCAACCCCACCGGGGGCCTGGGAGACAGGTGGGCAGCAGTGCTCTGGGGGGGTGCTCTGTCCCTGCCCCATGTCCTGAAGATGCAGGCTCTGCACACGAGCCCCTGTTCAGCCATAGTGGAGGAAGGTGCAGAGAAGTCGGGGACCCAAGCCCCACCCCAGCCCATTGCCCTGGCTCCAGACCCTGGCCCACGCTCAGTGTCGTGGCTGCACACCTCACCTGGCCCAGCTGAAGGATGCCCTGCAGGGGGTTCCGCACCAGGCCGGGCTGGGCCTGCTGCAGAGCCTGCTGATCCTGCAGCTGCCTCACAAGCTCCAGGGCCCGGGCCCCGCACTCCCGGCAGGTGTCGATCAGGCCTGGGGCAAGAGAGATGTGAGGGGGCCCGTGCCCAAGGACCCTGGAAGAAGCTCCCACACACAGACCCCAGCCCAGGATCTGACGCCAGGACCCGTCTGCAGGCCCCCATCTTTCCCTGGTCCACCATGAGGACCCCATGAGACACAAGCCTGAGGCCCACTTACGGTCAGCAGGGTCAGTGGGGGCCAGGTGGGAGGTGGCACCGCCATTGACGATGGTGTCGGCAGTCAGGTGGGAGAACTGGGTCAGGGCTGCCACCAGGGCAGAGGCATCTGTGAGGGGAGGAAAACAATGGAAGCCTAAGGCTGCTGCCATGGAGCAAGGCCTGGCTGACGCCTCACAACAGGCTGCCCAGCAAGCCCAAGACAGACACCTGAACCCCAGTTTGCAGATGAGGAGGGGAGGGCCTGAAGGGGAGAAGGTGCTAGGCCAAGGTCATGCAACTGGAAAGCAGCAGGGCAGGAGCCAAACCCAGGTCTGCGTGACCCCAGGCTCATAGGGCGGGGCTCCTGGGGGCACCTGCTCAGCTTCCTGGAGAGGGGCCTGTTGTGGGAAACCCCCTGGAAGGAAGGAGGCAGCAATGGCCAATGGAACCAGCACACCACTGCTGGTGGCCTCAGTCCTGTCCCAGTCCAGTCCCCCTCTGCTCTCACCTGATCTGGAGGCGAGGTACAGGGTGTGGCCCTTCTCCAGGGCACTCACAGCCTCCAGGGCCGCCTGGGCCCTGCTCACCAGGTAGTCTGCAAGCACAGGGAGCAGCGGTGAGCGGGGTGCCTGGCCTGAGGCCCCCTCACCCTCCCGCCTGCTTCCCTCAGGGAGGGCGAGTGCCTGCACCAGCAGCCCTACCCGGGGAGCTGGTGCAGCGCAGGTGCAGGGGGTCATCCAGCTTGCTCACAGCGTCCTGCAGGATGCGCTCGGCCTCAGCGGCAGTGCCCCGGAGCACCGCAAACTGCTCATCCAGGAGCCTCTGCCGTAGCCCCTGCTCCTGAGACTCCTGGTGGGAGAGGGAGAAGCAAATTAGACATCCCGCCTCAGGGACAGCCAGCCAAGCAGGAACGACCCAGGTGAGACCCTCGCTGGGGACAGGGGTCTGAGGAGAGGCCCCACTCCACCCAGTGCTTGGGCTGCTCCCTCAAGAGTGGAGTGGACAGCACAGTAATAAAAAACAACCTAATTAAAAATAGGCAAAGGATCTGAACAGACATTTCTGCAAAAATATATGAGTGGCAGTGAACATGTAAAAAGATGCTCAGCATCATTAGCCATTAGAGAAATGCAAATCAGAACCACAGTGAGCCACCACTTCACATCTACTAGGACGGCTAAAATAAAAAAGAGATGGTAACAAGCATTAGCAAGGATGTAGGGAAACTGGCACCCTCATACATTCCTCGTAAGACTGCAAAATGGCACAGCCACTTTGGAAGACACTTTGGCAGTTCCTCAAAAGTTAAACACAGGATTACCATGTGATCCAGTTTCACTCATAGGTATATATCCAAGAGAAATGCAAACACACGTTCACACAAAACCTTGTACACACATGTTCAAGCAGCAGCATTCACAATAACCAAAAAGTGGAAACCACCCAAACCTCCATCAACTGAAGAATGGATTAACAAAATGTGGTCTATCCATACAACGGAATATTACTGGGCCGTGCAAAGGAAGGAAGTACTGACACATGGATGAACCTTGGGAACATGCATAGTGAAAGGAGCCAGTCATATCATGTGATTCCATTTACGTGAAATGTCCAGAATAGGTAAATCCACGGAGACAGGAAGGAGATTAGTGGTTGCCAGGGGCTGGTGGTGGGGACTGTGAAGGGAGAATGGGGACTAACTGCTCATTGGATAAGGGGTTCTTTCTGGAGTGGTGAAAATGTTCTGGAAGTACAAGGTGGATGCTTGTACAGTCCTGTGCACATATTAAGAACCACTGACTTGTACCCTCTAAACGGGTCAGCTGTGTGGTATGTGAATTCTATCTCAATCTAGCTGTTATACAGGGTGGGGGGCCCGCTACCTTGTCCGCCAGCCGCCCCTGCAGCTCGCCCCTCTCCTGGGAGTTTCGCTGCTGCTCCTGGCTCAGCGCCTCCTCCTTCTCCCGCACCAGGTTCTGGGCCGCCAGCAGGTCAGCCTCCCGCTGCCGCATGGCGCTGCTCAGCGTGTCCTTCTCTGCACTCAGCGTGTCCAGCCTCGAGCTCAGCTCTGACCCGCTCTGTTAACACCTGGCATGTGAGCAAGGCTTCCAGGGGCCCTGCCCGCCCCCGCATCCCCCCCGCAAATTGACAGACAGTTCCTTAGGGCCATGTCTTCACTATCCCCTGCTCTCAGGCTGAGAGGTTCCTGAGGGCCAGGGCCAGGTCCTGTTTCCTGTGTATCCCCGCTAGGGCTGGGTCAGAGCAACACCCCAGGACTGCCGAGGGCCCCTCTGAGCCAACCTAGTGGCATCTAGGCATGGCCCAGTTCACAGGAAAGAGGCCCCTAATTTCTGTCCCACCCGATCCTGGGAGGCCACGCTGCCCAGCAGCCACCACACCTGCTCTGTGCGGCTCAGGGCCTCCTGCACGTGCACCAGCTCCCCAGCCTTGGCCTCCAGCTCCCTCTTGAGCTTCTCTAGCTGGTCACTCTGCTCCTCCAGCTGGAACAGGACAGTGTGTCACGGAGGCAGTAGGGCTGCCGGGGACTCCAGAGCGGGGCTGCTGAGACTGACGAGGTCGGGGCCCTGTGCACACAGGGGACGCACCTTCATCTCGGACTCCCGTTTCACCTGCTCCATCTGGAAGGCCAACTGCTCCTTCACTCGCGCCACCTCCTCCTGGCTCTGCTGTGTCACTGTCAGCTGCTTGGCTGTGTCTGCGTTCTGCACAGGCGGGGGACAGGCTCATGCTCTGCCACCACTGGGGACTCCCCTCCTCCGGGCCAGCTCTGCCTACACAGGGCTGGCCTGGAGCCTACCTTCCTGAGCAGCTCAGCGTGCGTGTTGATGAGCTCGCTGTGCTTTTCCTTCAGCTTGTTGTAGCGCGCCTCTGTAGCGCTGGCCTTCTCTGCAGGTGAGAGGCCAAGCCGTGATCCCCAAACATGGCAGAGGCCCCCCAGCAGCCCGGCGCCCACACCTCGGGACGAGGCGCTCACGTGGGGACACGCCCGCCCCGGCCGGGCCCACGCACTCTCAGCCTCCTCGCGCAGGCCCTGGTTCCGCTCGCCCTCCAGCTGGGCGGCCCTCAGCTGGGCCAGCTCATGGCGGAGCTGCTCGTTGTCCACCAGAGCCTTTTGCTTCTGCTTCCGCTGCTCCTCCAGCTCAGCCTCCAGCGTGTTCACCTGGCCCTTCAGCTGCGAGATGTACCGCTGGGCCTGCAGCGGCAGGACGGGCGTGGGGGTGGGCGTGGGGGCCCTGCTTGGCCTGGCTGGTGGTGGGGGCAGCCCCACAGCCCCAGGCCCGCCCTCCGCCCATGCCCCTCACCTCCAGCTTGATCTTGTCCAGCTCGGCACGGAGCGTCTCTACCTCTCTTTTCAAAGTCTCGATCTGGAGGTCCCTGAGGAGAGGTCAGGAGGGCAGTTTTCTGAGGCCCACACAGTCCTGGTGTTCAAGTTCAGTCAACCAGGAAAATCAGAAGACCCGGGCACGGGAACTGGTGTTCTCATCAGCGGCCCCATGGGATTTGGGTATCTTAAGTTGTGTCCCCAACCTGTGCCCTTTCCTGACCACAGCTCTGTGAAGCCATTTCCAGCCCCTGCAATAGCAGTCAGCTCCCCAGGCCCTCACCTGTCATCCTTCACTGAGCCATTGGGGGGTCCAAACGTCTGCTCAAAGAGGTCAGCCACCACCTGCCATAGCAAAGCACGGTGACCCCCACCCTGACTCCCCTGGGCCCTCCAGGCCAGGAGCAGGAGGGAGCAGAGGGAGGGAGCCAGACCCCTCCCCGACACCCCACGTGGGAATGGGGGCAGCTCACCACTGGCTCCCCGGCCGGGGGCCCTGTGCTGATCTCGATGAGGGTCTCGGGCTCCTCGTCCTCGGGGGCCTCCTCAGGGATCACCACCACAGGCTTGATGTGCTCGGCCAGTGCCGAGGCCCGCAGGAAGTTGGGAGGTCCCTACAGGGGCAGCGGGTGGGGAGCTGCTCAGCGTCCCCTCCCCTACAGGCAGCCCTCCTTCCACCATCCCCAGAGCCCACGTGGGGTCCCTGCTGGGCGCCCGGAATCCTCAAAGCGCCCAGAGCCCAGGGCAGGAACAGCTCGGCAGGCGGCAGGCACCTCGGGCAGCCGGGGGATCTGGATGAGCCGCTTGAAGTAGAGCATGTCCGAGGCTCTGCGGAAGAAGTTTCTGAGGCTGCAGGGGATGGACAGGGGAGGTCACTGAGGAGCCGGGCTCCGGACGGGCAGCCCCAGCACACGTGGCTGGGAGCCACGGAGTGTCTTCCCGGCCGGGCCTCAGCGCTGCCCAGGCGGGTACCTGTGAAACTGCTCGTGGAACCGGTCCCTGTGGCCTTGCAGGGTGTCTGCCGGGAGACCTGCGGGCGGTACAGGTTTAACGGACTTCCTCTCTGCTCACTGCTCTGTGGCTTAGGAAGACTGCACATTCACTCCCTTCCTCTCCCCTCCCTGTTCTTCCACGTTCTAGAAACCGTCATAGATCAGAGAGATCACCATCATCCACCACCTGGCTGGGTCCCTCCCACCCGTGGGGAGAAGGGTGGGATGAGACCCGGGTTGAGGGGTTAGCTCTCGACTTTCCAAGTGAGGGGAGAAAAGGAAATGGTGAGTAGGAAGGACATCCCGCAACCATAGCAAACCAAGCGCATGCCTGGCCCTGGGGCGCCCCGTGAAGTCACTTTCAGACCTGCATCTGCCCTGGGCGAATGTCTGAATAGCTCACAAACCCTAGGCCAGCAGTTCTCTAAGTGGGTCTGGGGACAAGACCCTTTCAGAGGGTCCACCGGGTCCACACAGACGGAGCAGGGAAGCAGGTGAGAGGCCGGCTGCCCGCTCATTCAAGAGAGCCAGAGACACGTAAAACTAGGCCACTCTTCTCACTAAGTCTTTTTTCGTTTTGGAAAATAGTGATTTTTCATAACAAGTATGTTATTTGTGTTAATGGATAATGAGTTTATTATTGGCTACTTTTAACTAATTTCTTGATTTTCACTTCTGATAACAGTACATGCTGATCAACATAAGCTACATAAACACAGCCCTTTGGGGCTTCAGCTGAGCCTTGGGGGCCCGCGGCTGGCAGCAGGAGGGCTGGGGGACTCACAGGAGTGCAGCTTGAACAGGAGCTTGACTGTGTAGTGGTAGAGGTGGCTGCAGTCCTGGATGACCTGGATGAGGGGGGCCAGGCGGCACTGGCCTGAGGACATCTGAGACACAGCGATGGCTGTGTTGAGCTGCCGAAAAACTGCACAAAAGAGAGGCGGGAGAAGGAGCATGAGTGCGGGACCCCACAGGTACCAGCGTTGGTGACAGCCATGATGCGAATGGCACCATCACAGCAACCCTGGGAGGTGGGTCTGAAGATGGGGCAGCTTTACTACTGGGTAGTAACAGGCTTTACTGCTCCCAGCTGGGCAGTGGGACTCTATCCTGGGTCCCCCAACATGCTCCAACTGCTAGAATGGGAACCCATGTGCTGTGGCTGCCCCAGACGGAGGTCCAGTGCTCCTGTGAACTAGGTGACAGCGAGGTCAGGGCAAATGAAATCCAGCTCACCTCGGCCAGGGTTTCCAGACCCTCCATGTGGTGGGCCCCAGACAAGGGTGACTTAGACAGTCCTGTACCTGTGGGCCTCAAGCTCACTCTCCATCTTAGGGAGCCTAAGGCTGGGGAGCCCAAATGCCTCCTTTACAGACATGGGGACAGGCCCTGGCTTGGTCAGTCACACCACAGCAGGGTCAGGACTCAGCTTTGCAAATCCCAAAGGACCCTAAGACCCTACTTGCACCTGGGGTCAATCTCCCTGCCCCTGACAATCAAGCCTTTCATCAGACTGACCGAGCAGGGGGGACAGGGACAAACATGAGGCTGCCTCCCCAGGTGGCCTCTTCTCTGGGGCAGAGAGAGAAATGACCATGAGCAGGCAGCATGCCAGGGTAGGGGAGCCGCCAGGGCACCCGCACGGGACAGACACCAGCACACAGTTCCAGAACAGTGGGCTCCAAGCCCTGGGGTCCTACTCTTACCTGGCCTGGGGTGGGACCATTTGCAAACCTCCACGGTGACATGAGAATCCCCAGGAAGGAAGGGACAAGAAGGAAAGAGCTAAGCTGTCCCTCACCTTTTAAAAAATTACTTTTTAGCTAAATGTTAAGTACATTTTCCTTATAAAAAATTAAATCACAGAGTACTGCTGAGTTTTAAACACGTGGGTAAATATTGTTCTGCAATGGGCTTTATTTCGCTCTGCAGAACGTTTTCTAGCTCTTCCCCTGTCAGAGCAGATACAGATGCATCTCTCTCCACTTCCTACCCCAAGCGCACAGTGTGCTGCAGCCATTTCTCCACTAGGGGGCACTGATGGTGTTTCCCTTTTTTTGGCTGTTAAAACCCAGCGGTGGGAAACCCCTTGCACCGTTTCTCCAGGGAGATGCTGGCACGTGGGACAACCTGTGTGCCCCTTCTCTGTGCTTCAGCGAGACGTCAGTGTTCCCAGGAGTGGGGCGCCTGCCTGTGGTTTTCTCCACCCTCCCTCCTGGGGACCACTGCCTCCCCACACTCGGCCCAGTCGTCCCCAGGCTGAGAGCAGCACGGGGTGGGGACAGTAGTACTTGGCTCCGCCTGGCACATCTCTGCGAGGACACAGAACCCACAGCCATGGCCCTGGACACCTGCCCTTGGCTCCCCAGGCCGGGTCCTGGGCAGGCCTTCCAGGGCACAGAGAGTTTAGGTCCGAGCTGCCCGCTGGACTCGCCCAGCCTGGGAGGCCAGACCCGGGAACACCAGGAGGCTGCCCAGACCCACCTTTCCAACTCCTGATTTTCCCTTAAAAGGCATTTACTTTTCGCCGTCTTGTGGAGAGCGCTGAGTCACCCACAAATTGTTCTGAAGCTGCCACCCAAAATAATCACCTCTGTGGCCCCGGGAGGGGGAGCCCTCTGAGATTTCCTGTCCAACGGCTGCTAGTTCCCGGTTGGGAAGTCCAACATGACTCAGAGGCCTTTTACAGCAGAAAATGGGCAAGAGGACCCAAACCAGCTCAGGTCAGGGCCCTGAAGAGGCGGCTCCCAGCGGCCCCTGCCCTGCACTCTCCCTGCCTTGGGGCCAACAGAGTGGGTTCAGTCAGTGGAAGGCCCGGCAAGACCATGCCCTGCACACACCACCGGGGCCTGGCATCCTGCAGGGGTAGGCAGGCGTCTCGCCCATGCTTTGGGGGCACCTGGAGGCCCTGTTTCCTATTCCTGGCAGGGACATGGACTCCCAGGGGGTGGGCATTCAAGACTGGGAAGTCAGTATGGCTAACAGCCACCCCAACCCTGGGTCCTGAGGAATCGCACTCAGGACCTGGATCTGCTCGTTCGGCTCACCTGATTCAGAAAGCTTCAGCTCACAGTCCATGTAATCGAACATCTCCACGGTGAGCTGGAAGCTACAGGGGAAAGGAGGAGGGGAGTGATGAGATGGGAGCACAGTTCATCGGCACGCCCTTGCACAGGACAACAATCCTTCAGCCAAAAATGCCTGACTCCAAAGAACCCCATCCCTTTAACTCTGGCCTCATCTCCTGGGAACATGACCTTCAGCCCCCGAGAGTCACCGACAGCACCAGCCCCACGTGAGCACCTGGGTGTGGAAGACTTTAGGAACAAACAGGGAGACTGAGGGAGGAGAAGGGAGCCTGGGCCAGGCCACTCCACCATCCTGAGGGACTCACATATTGTTGACGTCCGTCCCAGCTGCCTTTTCCAACACCTCGTCTGTCACCTCCAGGCCCGCAGGAAACTGGGGGTGCTGCAGAGAGGACACCCCCACTCAAGTGCAGCCCATGTTGGCCCTGGCCCAGAACTGGTTCTAGCTTTTGAGGGAGGGGAAGAGGCCAGAGATGCCCCCAGCCTGTGAAGCCACCAACTGCCCTGGGTGCTGGCTGAGGAGGGGCTGGGAGGGACCAGAGAGGCTGCTGGGAGCCTAGGGCAAGGCTGAGACCACCCCCAACATCCCAGGGAAAGGCCTCGAGGGTGTTGTGACTCTCCTGACGCCTTGGCATCCCTTGTTCTCCTTGAGCCAAGGTTGGGACAGAACAGATCCTGTGCTCCTCTCTGTCCTACAGCGTGACAGAGGGAAGAGCCCAGGGTCCCTGCAGCCCCACGGCTCTCCCGGGGAAACTACCTTGAGGTGGAAGGAGATTTTGGTCAGCAAGAGTTTGGTGTAAACGTTCACCAGTTGTCCGTATCGGTCATGCAGATGCCCCTGTGGAGAAGGAGCCCAGGGTAAGGCGGCTGCCCGTGAACACGCCCAGCTATCCTACAGGACCCAGGCACGTTCAGGGCAGACAAGGAAGCCGAGGCGGGAAGATGCGAGGCCACAAGCTGAACATCATTCCTTCACCCACCCACTCAGTCACTTCTTCACCAACAAATATTGCTCAACTCGCCAGAGGCGGCTACCTCTTCATTCCTAAGGGCCCCCTCCAATCTCCCTCCTAGTCTATAGCTCTTTTTCAACCTTCCTCCTTGTCATTCTTGCCAAGGAAACTCTTGTGACAAGAGCACTTTGTCCAGGGCAACAGGCCAACTCTGATTGGGATACTTTATTAAAATGCTGGTGGCAGTCAGGGAGGCACATTCCAACAGGCGTGTGTACACATCCTCCCAGCTGCCTCCTCTGTCACCTCCAAACACCACGTCTCCTGTGGCCATGCCAGCTGGGCCTGCATCTGCAAATGGCACCACGGCACTGTTTTCCTCACTTCAAAGGGCATGCGAAAAACACAGCAGTTCTGGGTCATGCGCCGCCTTCTGCAGGCCAGGTCAGTTCCCAGAGGCCGCCCTGTTCCTGCCCAGCCAGTCGGCCCCAGCAGTTTTAGCAGACAAATAAGGCCTGAGGCCCTCTTTCCACCTAGAGGATACCTCCAATTCCTGAGGGTCTGGGAGGGGCTCTAGAACACAGGCTCTGGGGTTCCACCTTTACTGTGGGTAAGAATCTTCTGGGGAGCCCTCTGAAAATGCAGACTTCCAATCCCGAGATTCTAAAGCAGCTGGTCTGAGGGGCCCAGGAGTCTGCAGCCTTCACCTGGGCTCTAAGCACCACTGTGAGATGCCTGGACTTGGGGTTGGGTGTTGCCACATTTCCCAACCCACAGGGACTGAAGGCTGGTGACTTTTGGAGCCGGAGGGCCCGTGAGCTCTGCGTTTGGAACCTCCTGTACTGGGCCCTAGAAGCAAGGCTGCAACTTCACTTACTGATGCTCATCTCCCTCCACTGTAGCCCCAAAGAACATCACTAACTTCTGCTCTGAGAGAAAGGAGAAAGACACCCGTCACAGGATGCTCCCATTTGCTCAGCCCCGTGCGCTGGGGGACACAAATGCCTAGCAGGTCTGTAGCTAGACTTTCTGGACGGTGCCCGTCTGTAGGGTGCTCAGGCCGCACCTACCCACAGATCTCCAATCTCCCGAATGTTGCTCCGATAGCGCTGGCAGTCGTGCAGCACCTGCAGCACGGAAGGGGAGACAAGGGAGAAGGGTGAGGGATCCAGAAGCTTGCGAGCAGAGTCCCGACACATTTATTCCCCACGCTAGCTGGCACGCCGAGGGCGGGGAGGCATGGGGTGGAAGGCATCAGGCAGGGTGGGCCAGCCCCGAGCTGAGGCAGACAGACGCAGGGACAGTCTCATTTCAAAGGGATGCTGCTCTGCCTCCCTGGGGCACTGGCCTGCTCAGGCAGCAGCAGATGGAGGACCCAGGCTCCCAGGCCTCCCACTGCCCTGGGAAGCACAAGGTGGCTGGAACAGATTTGCTTCTCCCGGGACCGGTGAACAGCTACTTACATTGGGGTGCCCGTCTCGAAGGACCTTGTGGAGGACATGGCAGAACTTCCAGCTGAGGATGGAGCTGCTGGGAAGTGGCAGACCGATAGCATAGGACCAGAAGGTGAAGGCCCCCTTCTCGTGGTGAGTGCCCAGTATGATGCCTACCAGGGTCAAGGCCAAGTGCAGGAAGCAGAGACTCAGGCGTGGGGAAGGTCAGAGGCCACTCAGTGACTGCAGAGACACGCATGGGAGGCCAGCCCTCACCCCATAGCCACTGAGCGCCTTCTCCCCACATCCTTCTCCCTCCGTGTCTTCCACAGTTCACCGAGAGCTATGGTCTTTAGCGAAGGGCATGAAACAGGGCAACATCATGCCCCACGAATTCAACTGGGCCCAACAGACTAAGACCATGGATGGTGCTCCTGAGATGGGATTCAGAGTCTGAGGAGCTGAGCAAGACGGGAGGCCCAGCTGGTCCAAGGCCACACGAGGACATGGGCCTCCCTCCTCAGTGAGGGCAGACTTCACAAAGCGCTGGTGGCCATCTGCAGAGCCACACTGCCCCCATAACTCACTCCCACCAAATCCACGTTCAGAGGCCATGCCGGGGAGGCCCAGGTCCTCCTCAGAGCCTCCCAGCCTCCCCGCCTGCCCCCAGGAGCCCAGAGACATGGAGGGCCGTTTGGAGGCAGGGAAGGATACGCCGGGCATGCTTCTCCTTCACGGGGGCCTCCTGGGTGTTGATGGCTTTGCTGATGCTGATGGCCTGTGAAGGAACAGAGGAGGGGGAGTTCACACACCCGCTGGGCAGGCTTCCCTGGGGGAGAACACCTCACAGGGGGAAAGGGCAACAGGCAGACAGGATGGATTCTCCACTTCAAGGCGAGTGTAGAGAAATTCTCTCAACCTAAGCAAACCAGACGTCTGAAGACTTTTCTTTCACTCGATATGTGCGGCTCAAACTACAGCTAACACCCGAAGCCACAAAGCCACCGAGAGCCTCCAGGGTCTGGGGAATAAGGAGGAGGCTGGCTGTGGCTGCAGGAGACTACCTCTGGTCTGAAACCTACATGCGTTTAGCTGTCCCCAGGAGGTGAGGCCCTCTGGGCCCCAGGGGAGCGGCCAGTCACGGCACAACCTGGCCTCCTCCATTCCGTCCCTCCTCTGGGACCTGAGCCCTCACGGCCCACCTTAAAGAGCTGTGCGTCATCCCCACTTACTGTGGGGCAAGGCCCAAGAAATGATGCAAGCTGACAAGGCCCACACAGCCACTATGTGGAAAACCAGGATGAGCCCAGCTCCCGTCGCCTGTCTGCCACGCAGGCAACCTCTCCTGGGTGGGCCCAAGTCCTGACTCAGCTCCCATCCCCACCAATGCAGATGGCAACTGTGGCCCTGCAGGAGTGGCAGGAAGTGGGGGGTCCACTTAGCACACCTGCTGCTGTCACTTGGGCCCTGAGCAAGCAGCAATCTCACCCTTGGAGAAGGGCCTCTCCCATTTCCATCTGCTGGAGTCCTGTCTCCTCTACCTTAGCTCAATGCCTCCTCTTCCAAGAAGGCTTCCTGGACGTGACTGCTCCCTCACCAAAGGCTCACAGCACTTACTGTCACCCTCCACCCCACTCACCCTGGAATTATTGCCAGTCCTGGGTTTACTTGTGGATATGATTTATTTCTCCACCTGGGGGCAGGTCTTAGAAGCCTCTCCACCCATCCAGCACCGAGCTAGGGACATCAGTGTTTGTGGGCTGAGAAGAGCTTCCTGTGCCATTGGAGGAAGGGACAGGACACTCGACAAATGCAGACACCTCTCCAGGCCAGCTGATTCTCCCAAGTCTCCCTCAGGTCCTTAGCCAGGGCCCACACTGAGCTTCCCCCACGCCCTCCAAGGACCTGCCCTGGGCAGAGCAAGGACTCCAGGGGCTGCGTGGTCACCCTGTAGCCAGGACCTGAGCCCGCAGGTCGCCGCCTCGTCATCAGGACGCACTTGCATGGTGTGACTGGGACAGGAGCACAGGCCCCAGCAGTCCTCATAGGAGCGGGGACACGGCAGGGGGAGCCTTGAGGGGCAGCGCTGGCACTTCCTTTTTATCTTAGAGGCCACTGCACTCTCCACTCTGGCATCTGAGCAGTAATAGCTGCCCCTGCCCGGCAAGGAGGTGATTTCACTCATTTACAGTCTATTGGGAACCGACCTTCGCCTACTGGGCAGGCTGTGAGGTTTCCTCCGTAAGAAAAGCAGCCCACGGGAGTATAGGCGGTCCTTTCTGATCAAACACACAGACCTAGGAGTGGATGGGGCTGGAAGCAGGAGGCCTGGTTCCCTCCCCCCTACTCCACAAGGCAGGCTGACCTCCTTTCACACACAGTGCCCATTGTGGCCCGGTTCGTGGGGTGTGGGGAGTCCTGGGGCCGCAGCCACACACCACCCTGGGCCCCTCAGGGGCCACTCTCCTGGGATCAGGGACAAGCTGGGAGAGCAGCTCCCTGCCTCCCTGAACCAGGGCCCTAAGAGAAACCCAGACAGGCTCTGGCTCCTCTTATTCTCAAAGCCTCAGCAAGCCAGACACGGAAGGCTCCCCTGGCGATCTGTTCTGTTTGCCAATCCTTTGCCAGCACAGCCTTGGCGCCTGCCTTTGCTCAACAAGCATCACTGAGCAGCCACCGTGAGAGGAACTGTGCCCTGACACGGGCCACTCCCTGTCCCACATGAAAATCACACCCCACCCAGCAGAACTCTGTCCACAATAGTGGTGGTGATGATGATCAACAACCGCCATTTACTGGGTGCTTACCCTGCGCCAGGCACAGGCAACATGCCTCCCACCAAGAAGCCTGGGAAGTGGTCATGAGCCCAAAATTCTGATGAGAATACTGATGCACAGAGGGGTTAGGCATCTCGTCTGTACAGCTACTAAGGGCAAAGCCAGGGCTGGCTGACTCCACACTTGGCGTCCTTAGTAAGTCTGCTCTACAGCTCCCCAGGCACCTCCTTCCCGTGCCGGCGCAGAGCTGGGAAGAGACAGGCATGCATGGCAGTGCACAGGGCAATGGGGTGGGGCCGTGCCTCCCCCAGTAGCAAGCAGTTGCCAGCTTGTAAGCCAGGAGTGTCCTGTTTCTGGGGGTGTGTAACCCCATCCCCAGCTGCCTTGTCACCTGAGCTGCCTCTTCTGACGACTGCCACCTGGTTCCAGAATCCAAGGAAGAGCAAAGCAGAGCAGAAGCTACACATGCAGAGCAGGCCAGGAGGCAGCTGTGGACGCAGAGATGCAACCACAGTCACAGCAAGTGCTTTCTCCTCCCCACGTCCAGAGCACACCCCAGGAAGGGGCTGCGTATTAACTCCTCTCCCTCCTGGAGGCCTCCCCCTTTCTCCTCCCAGGGCCTGCAGCTGGAGAGCAGAAGCAGACACACCCTAGAGGAATGGGCTGGCTGGGGCCCAGGGGGAGGGCTGCCTTTCCTGGAGCAGGGAGGAGGGCAGCCACGGCACTGCTTAGCTGGGGGCAAGGTTAGGTACTTCCACTTCCCAGTCTTCCCCACGGGTCACTAGGCACAGGCTTTTACTTCATCATTGGTACAAACGTACACCAGGCCCCTCTCATGGCGGGACACTGGACCCCAGAAAGAGTGCCAGGCTCCCCCGACCTTTGGGTCTCTGCTCACCTGTCACCTTCCTGCTGCCACCCTATTTAAATCCCGCCTGATTTATGCTTCTCTGTGTACTCAGCACCCCTGAGAACAATGTTTTCCTTATTTGACTATTATCCATCTCTCCCCACCGCACCAGATGTCAGCGCCACAAGCGAAGCGGTTCTGCCTCTCTGGTCGCTGCTGTACCCTCATCCCTAAACAGAGCCCGGCACAGGGAAGATTTTCAGAAGCAGGGAGGGAGGCTCCGGGGACCCAGCGGGATGTGGTGACTTGGGTACAGGGCACAGTCTGTCAGGGTGTCAGGCCTCCACCCCCCGGCCCCCAGTGCCGCCCACTCCCCACGCTGGCTACAGGAACAGGGTCCTCCCCAGCGGGAACACGGCCCCGTTGTGTGCAGGGCGGCAGATGTGTGGGTCGGGAAGCCTCACAAGGAGGCACAGTGCTCACACAGAGGGAGTCTGTGGACACTTCACAGGGCCTCACTTTTCCTGCCAGGCGCAGCAGCCAAGCCTCGTCCCAGGAGGGGACGTCAGGCCTGGGGGCGCCCGTCCACCTCCCCCCGCCTGTCCTGAGTAGGCTGCAGAGGTGGGGAGAACATTAGGGTTCTTCCCCTCAGCACTGGAATCTATGCCAGGAGATTTTGACATAGCCCAGTCTCAAGGCAGATCTGCCAGTGACACTTGGTTCTGTCTACACAGCATGGCATCCTCATGCCACCCCAAGGGGTGACTGTGGGAAAACTGCAGGGTAAGGGGGAGCCAGAGGGAAATCCAGGACCATCGTGTGGGTTCTCTCTAGTCTGCGGGCCTGAAAAAAGGCTTTCTTCTGCCCTGGTACAGCCACCCGGGCCAGAACCACCCCCAGCGAATTTAATCCCTCACAGCTGGTGGGATCAATTGCCATGGAGAGAAACCTTCCAGGGAGACACAAGCTTTGAGTGGAATGGATTGATTAGGGGCCTCAGTGTCAGGGTAGAAAACCCGGAGCTGGAGAGAAGGGTCCTGCGGGCGAGGAAGGGGAGCCGTTCCCATTCCACCTCTGAGTGCTCAGGGGTGGGGGCAGCGAGCGGCTCTCCCCACGTCTGAACAGAGGAAGCAGGGCAAGAGCAAAGCGGTGGGTTCCACAGCTGTTGTGAGATCCCCAGAAATGCCCAGGGGGACTTTGGGGGAGTGAGCAGGAGGGTCTGCAAAGACAGCAGAGGGCAGGCAAAGACGCTCCTTAGACCCGTGAGGGTGGGGATCAAACAGTTTCATGGGCATTCAGACCACCGCTGCTCCTTCTGTGCTGGAAAAATCCAACAAGTCCACACCCCAGGCTCTGGGGAGCCACCTCCCCTGGAACTCTCCAAGAGTCTGCGCCTTGTTCCACCCAGTGCTGGAAGAGTGAGGGGCCTCACCTTCTGAAGGGCAGAGGTGAGGACAACACTAGGGGTGGCCACAGGCCAAGGGATGGGAAGGTTCCAGCATGCTCTAGAGACAACGTTGAAATCCACAGCACTGGGAAGTTTGTAAAAGGTGCACTTCATGCCACCAGACCAGCAAACTGATCTCGATAACCTAATAATAAAATGATTTTTATCGAGTTCAGCCATGTGCCAGGCACCGTGCTGAGCAATTCACTGGTATTATCTCATTTAATCTCCTAAGTAACCCTGGAAGCAGGCGGATGAAGAAAGCGAGACTTAAGGAGCTTAATCGCCTGCCCAAGGTCATAATAATGACATTTTGACGAGTGCTTAAGCCCTGCCAGGTGCTATTCTAAGCACTTTACTGTAGTGACTCGACCCTCACACAATCCTCCCCCATCAACCCGCACCAGGAATCTGCAGCACAGCAGGTCAAGCAACTGCCCAGGGTGGCTGGCAGGACTGGAAGCCAGGCTGCTCGGCTCTGGGGACTGTCCTCTCTGCCACCTCGTGGTCTTCGGGGAAGAGAGGCTGGGCTGAGGGAGCAGTGCATCAACACAGACATCCTTCTTTGTCCCACCACAGGAACCCAGCTCCCCAGGGGCCCACTTCCGCTCAGGCAGGACCTGGCCCGACTCCAAGCCAGGATGCAGATTCTGGATTGGGGAATATGTTCAGAGCAGGGTAATAACATCACTGGGGAGGCACTG